ATACTGTGCCTGAACTAGCGCCAAATCTCAAGTCTTAGCAGACTTCATGATCGAAATACCACCAGATCTACTAAATACCGAGTCACCTACCGAAAAATACTGGAATTTGTACGTTGACGGTGCCTCCTCAAAACAAGGATCAGGAGTCGGTATTTGTTTGAAATCACCAACAGGGGAAGTCCTTGAACAATCATTCAAACTCGGCTTCCCTGCCTCAAACAACGAAGCCGAATACGAAGCTTTGCTTGCAGGGATTCGACTCGCAAAAGAAGTAGGAGCAAAAAATATCCATGCCTTTTGCGATTCCCAACTTGTCACCAGCCAGTTCAAAGGAGATTATGACGCGAAAACGAGTGAATGGACGCTTACCTAAAGCAGGTCCAGGAAACAACGAGACAATTCGACTCCTTCGAACTAACTAAAATCCCGCGAACTGAAAACACCGCCGCCGATGCGCTGGCATCATTGGCATCAACAACGGACCATGCACTTTGCCGAACGATCCCAGTAGAAATCATTGAGCAACCCAGCATCCAGCTATCCAAAGGAGCCTGCAACATGGTTCTTAACCAAGAAGATGAAGCGGACGACCCAATGGAAGTAGACGCCGAGCAACGAAAGCAACCTTGGCAAGATGAAATTAAGTCCTACCTATCCGAGGGAATAGTCCCGCAAGATAGATGGGCAGCTAGGCATCTCCGGAGGAAAGCAGCACACTACTTTATTCAAGACGGCGACCTATTCCGATGAACGGCAAACAAAGTGATACTATGGTGCTGCGACGAAGCACAAGCAAAAAAGTTAATGGTCGAAACTCACGAAGGAGCAAGCGGCAACCATTCTGGAGGAAGGGCATTGGCCCTGAAGATAAAAAAACATGAATTATTCTGGCCCAGAATGATCCAAGACTGCGAGCAATTCGTACTACGGTGTGAACCGTGTCAGAAATATGTGCCTATCATCAACGCACCTACTGAACTGCTCCAGACCGCCGTGCCGCCGTACCCCTTCATGAGGTGGTAATTGGATGCAATCAGCCTGATGCCTAAGTCAGGTCGCAACCAACACATCCTGATGATGACGGACTACTTTACAAAGTGGGTTGAAGCTAAAGCATGCCCCAGCATTAAGGCAATCGACGTCCAGCTTTTCATTGAGAAAACATCATATGTCAGCATGGCCTCCCATACGAGATCGTCACGGATAATGGCACGCCATTTACCTCGTCAATTTTCCAAAATTTCTGTGAGGGTTGGGGAATACGCATAAATTACTCAACACCTTGCTATTCGCAAGGAAACAGACAAGCGGAAGCATCTAATAAAACAATTCTCGACGGTCTTAAGAAGTGACTTATAGACCTAGAAGGAAGATGGGCAGATGAACTGGATGAGGTCCTCTGGTCCCATCGAACGACTCCACAAACTGCAATAGAAGAAACTCTTTTTTCGCTATCTCACGGCTGTGAGGCTTTAGCACCCGCCGAAGCACATGTACCGAGTGCCCGAAGAACCTTAATAGTTCAGAACCCGCAACTAAACGACGAAAAGCTAATCAATGCTCTGAACGGCTTAGAAGAACTTTGCGATAAAGCTTTATTGCGCATTCAGAACTATCAACAGCAAGTCTCTAGATATTACAACAAAAAAAGTCCGAAGCCGACTATTTTCGCTGCATGACCTTGTCTTCCAAAGAGCTATAAACCCGACGAAACTCGAGGCAAACTGGGAAGGTCCATTCCGCATCACCTAAATCGTCAAACCAGACGTCTATAAACTGGAAGACATGGACGGAGAACCAGTGGAGCGAGCTCGAAATTCGATGAATTTAAGGAAGTACTACCCTTAGAAAACAAAGCTCGGCATTTAAGTTTGCAATTGTTGCTGTGAACTACGAATGGTTTGATCCTATTTTGGGTATGTAGGCAGCCTTCGGGTTCAGTCACTATCTTAATAAAATTATCTTTATCTGTCAACCAGCTCGGCGTTTACGATAAAAGGCATCTACTGGTCAAAAACGACCATCAAATCAGTTCGGCGTATAGAACGATACTTCATTATGCAAATGCATCTTGCTGAATCGATGATCTGGCCAAACATTCGATTCAAAAAAGCAAGAGAAAAAATTAAATTAGTGGCTGATCACCACTCCTTTGATACTTCGGTTCGATTTCATTACTTCTGAAGTGGATAAGACGAAAGCCGAGGACAATACTCGCACGACCCTCGATCATACCTTTCAGGCCGAAGTGAATCTTGAAAGCTTGGTATTCGATCTTGATTGTCGTATGGTATAAGAAGAGCTAATGAATCTCGCTTCCAGCACCGGCCTAAAGAATGCCCCCGCACCGCAAGGCAAAATAAACTTTTTGACTTCGCAAAAATCCTTAAAATTAAGGGTCACCTCGCCAACGAGTATAAATACAAGCATTGAAAATAAATTGTCAAAATTTGATTCATTAAAAAAAAAGAGGAGAGCGTTTGTCTAACATACATTTTTCTAAAAACGAAAAAAGACAACTACAAAAGCATTACCAAAAAACAAAAGGCTCAACGCCGCTTCGGCAATTGAATCCCGGCCGCCTCCAGCACCGAGTCAGAAGGTCGCATATGGATTCGCGTTAGAGCGGCAAAGTTATCCGGAGTGAGCGAAGCATCCTTGATCCTGTGACGCTCCATCTTCAGACGGTCGACTTTAGCAGAGTGGGGTAAAAGTTCCTTAACCAGAACCTCGTGTCCCGCCGACCTTAGCTGCTTATAACAATCCGCTCTCGCCTCGGCATCAACAATCTTGAGCTCAAACCGGTGGATGTTAGGCTCCTGCGCCATAAACGCCTTAATCCGCTCAATGCGGGGGTCGTACCACTCGCGCGAACGTTGATACATCAGATCGACGACGTGCTCAACAGACTTGCGTTGTTGACCTCGAAATTCTTTCTCGGCAATAGTTGCCTTCTTGGTTGCTTCGGCCGAGACCTTCTCCAAACTTTCCCTATGAAGTCGCATTTCTTTAGCAGATTCAACCTTAAAGGCTTGGTATTTGAGCTCCATACCGAGCTTCTCGCGCTCTTAGTCTTTGATCTTCCCAAAGCATCGTGAAGCTCCCGATCTTTGGCTGATAATTCCTCGTCTTTCTTCTCTTCTCGCATCGATTCTCGATCGTACGAGTCGATCAGAGACGCGCACAGACCTAAACCCTGCACAAAAAGCTGAGCCATTCCGGAGAAGCAAGCGAACCGCTTCAGCTTTTCCACCGACGCCCCTTGGTTTGGCTTTGCCCTGCATTGCCAGACCAGGTTCGCTGCGAAGTATTCATCGAACATTGTTGGGGAATCCCCGCTCCAGCGAAACAAGAATTCGTGAGGATTAAAATCAGGCTCCTCATCAGTATCTTCTGGGTCCTTCAGCGAGCTGCTCGTCGAGTCCGGCAGGTTGAATTCTTGCTCTTCCGCCGTTACAAAATGGAGTCTTGCTCCTCGATTGGCGATTCAACCTTCGAGTCTTCCGTTGGAATTTTTAGAGGTGATCGCTCGTTCGCAACAGCCGCGTCAGGCTCGCCTAGTGGAATATCTTCGATGATTGGATCCTCCGATCTGGGCTTCTTACACGGAGGGAAATCAGGGATGTCGATGTCTAGCAAAGGAATCTTATCTCTCTTCCTTAGCCCCATGCCTGTAGAAAGATACGCTCAAAATCCAAAATCAAAAGGAGAAGAAAGAGAATCTTTGAAGCAAAGGAGGTTATCGCGAGATTCGGAAAAGGAGAGCAAATTCTTTGGAGCAAGAAGACGAAGAGATAAAAGATTAAGTAATAAAATCAGAAGGAAATATCAACAGTTTCCTAAAGAGACGCGCGTCAAGATTCACACAATCTCGGCGCCTGGCAAACCCCTCGCCTTTCCCGCTTAAAGCAAAACCCTAAATAGGACGGAATATTTAATAATTAATTCCAAGAAAGCGCCACGCGTCAAGTCCACTTAAAATCAGGCCGAGCTGGCCATCGCAAAAAAACGCACTTGACGAGCTAACGTTTATTGCGAGATCAAACCCGCTTAACTTCATGAAGTCCGCCGACCTGATTAAACAATCAGTCTCGCCGAACTGGGGGGGGGGGGGGGGAGGACTTACTGTTAGAGGAGAAATGAGCACATTTCCTAAAAGGCTTTCTCTAGCAATAACCTAAGCCCATCAAGACTAGGAAGACTGCGCCGACCTAGCTCGGATAAAAGGAAAACTCCTAAAGATAACCTTTGAAGTCTGGAAGCATCGGATGGACTCGAAGGATAAAGGAGAATTTTCATATTCTTCGGAGAATAAGGGATATTTCCATATCGCAAATATGGAAATATTCACAAAAGAGAAAATGAATAGGAGTTCGGAGCAACCGACCTCCTACCCCTATAATACGAAGACCCCGAAGCTGAAAAACTAACTCAGACAATCTAGAGAGCAGCAGAACAAAAACTAGAGACTCCAACGCTTTCTAGTTTACTTCGTAAATACTTTCTTTCACTTCGGCATAACCTTTCGGTTATACCAATCTTTGTAATCACTTTGCTTTTTTACTATTAATAAAAAGATCTTATTCTCCAAAACTCACAACTGTTAATCAAAATCTTAGTGGTGATTTACCTACTATAATTTTCCTAAACTTTACCAACTATTTTTTTCCATCTCATTATAATATTTGTTTTGATTTGAACTACTATAAATATTTTGCTAAAAAAAAAGAACTACTATAATACGAGAAGACCAGAAGATCCCGACGATAACGGTTCAGTCGAAGAGGTTCCAGATGATGGTTCCTTCCCATTCCATCAATGTTACATGTTTCATGTCAAATCATCTCCTTGCTTAACATGCCCACTGAAATTAAGATCATTTCCATAAATTGCTTCTAGATCACATCTATGTATATTAAGCTAAATTAACTATAATTCTTTTCATTTTTTCTTTATTGACATTACTTATTTCTATTTTCGATTCGTCAGTCAACTCATAAGACAACGAGACCGCCGTCGTCAACATGATTCCACATCTAACGCCGTCAATGATTTCCGTCCATTTCCTCTCTCTCTCTCTCCCTCCCCCTCACGCGCTCTCTGTAACGCAGACCATTCTTAGCTGTACAAGACCCTCTCTCTAGAAACAGTCATCTCTATCATCTCTGTGATTCAACAAGGAGAGAGAAGAAGAAGAAGAAGAAGGAGAAGAAGAAAACTCCTTGATCGTCGTTGAAGCAGCATCATCATCACAACTAAATAAGAGATTCGTCTCAGGTTCTTTCCTTCTCCTGTTTTCCCTTCTAAATCTTCCACGTTTTTCTGCGATTTTCCGAATCGAATTTTCTCTACATTTACTAGATCTGTCTGTGTTAGGCGTCATCGATTATCTATTTTGTTTGGGGTTTATTGGTAAACTGAAGTAGAAATTGGTATGAAATCTCGTGTTGCTGCTTTACTTTCTTCTAAGATCGACCGAATAATTCTGTAGTCCATTTTTGTTCGAACCTCGATTTTGACATTGTTGCTGATTCAAAGTGCTGAGTTCCTTAATACATCCAAATATGCAAATTAATCTCAGTCTTAGCTTTTTGTCAGTATTTCAATAAATTCTGATCAAGTCGAGTTTATTCAGAGAATGGCTAGTCGAGTGAAAGAAGACGAGAAAAACGAGAGGATTATTAGGAGTCTTCTCAAACTTCCTGATAACAGGAGGTGTATAAACTGTAACAGCCTTGTAAGTTTTGGCTCTTCTTTTTAATACTGTCTTCATCATCATCCAAAGGAACGAAGAAGTTTGAGAAAATCAGCTTTTTATTTCATTCTTTCCTGGTTTTGTTAGGGACCACAATATGTTTGCACTACTTTCTGGACTTTCGTTTGTACCAACTGCAGTGGAATACAGTAAGTTCTTAGATTCCAAAAACTTTTTAATCTCATATTCTTGTGTATAGTGTTCCTGCAAGTGTTCTTGATTGATATATGCATATAAATGTGTTTTTTCCCTCAGTCGTGAGTTTACTCATCGCGTTAAATCAATATCAATGGCGAAATTTACCTCACAAGAAGTCTCTGCTCTAAAAGAAGTTGGTAATCAGGTAAGCAAGCTGATTCTTCTCGTTTCTCTTCTTCTTATGAGTTGGTTTTGATTGTGTATCTTTTATTTGGTTTTGATAACGAACAATCTCTGCTAAACAGCATGCTAAGGACATTTATTTTAAAGGACTGGATCAACAGAGACAGTCAGTGCCTGATGGCAGGTATTACAAATCTCTCTTCTTATAGTAGAGATTGTGAAGTCTTACGTTCTCTGATTGTTCTTTTATCTGTCAGTAATGTAGAGAGGTTAAGGGACTTCATCAGACAGGTGTATGTAAATAAAAGGTACACGAATGACAAGAATGATGAAAAGCCTCCAAGAGGACCAACGGTGAGAAGGATTTCTTTTTTATTCAGTTTCCTTTAGATAAACCTGACTCGTCCTAAGAGATTTGTTCATCACTATAGCGACGCTTGTTATGTGCAATGTCATGATTCCTTGTTATTTCATATTCTGCAGGGCGATAGTGAGACCCGAAGTTCCAGTGGGTCCCGAAGTCCACCATACGACGATGGTTATGACCGTCGTTACAGCGACAGATCAAGTCCTGGTGGGAGAAGTCCAGGGTTCGAGCCGGGTAACAGAAAAAGCCCTTCTCGTCCTGAGGTCGTGAATGATTGGCGCAGAGAGGATAGATTTGGTGGTAGAAAAAAACCAGAAGAGGAGTCACATTCACCTGAGCAAGTCAAAGACATGGGTTCAGCTAGCCCTCCCGTGCTTCGACCCGTTAGGGAAATTTTGGGTGACAGTGTTATCCCTCTTCGCGTGATAGAGCCTCCAAAACCTCAAGTTAACCGAAATAGCGATGCTTCAGCACACGCAAAGGTTTGGCTTTTATCATTATTAGAGTTCATATAGATTGTAAAGAAATTACATTACCAATTTTTGATATTGTTTTGTCTGTCTAATTTCAGCCATCTGCATCATTGAGTAGTTTATTAACCTCCACAAATGAGAATCCACCAGAAGTGAAGGTGGAGACTTCTATAAGCTTGATTGATTTCGACGCTGATCCCGAACCTCCTGCTCAATCTGTTGCTATACAACCACCGATATCGAACACGCCTCATCCTCCTGCACAGCCAGCAAGTACACCTACTGATAACTGGGCATCTTTCGATGTTGCGCCTAGTGCCCCTAGTTTAAACGTATCTCAATCACCACCACCAAGTGGAAACACGGTGGATTCGCTTCTCTCTCAGTTAACAGCGCCTTCTTCCGCGCCAGTTCAGACATCTACTCTACCTAGTGGACCTGTTCATCTTGGTCATTCCACGTCCCAAATCTTTGCACCACCACCTCTAAATGGACATTCAAGTGAACAGGTATGCACTTCATTTCATGTTCTCTAAGAAAAATTGCGTAATACTCTGATTCGTGTAGATAGGCAAATACCGATTATATTTAGGAGATAACGTTGGATTACAAAAGAACCTGAGGATTTTGATAATGGAGCTCCGCTCCTCCCACTCACGAATTACTTATTAAAGAACTCTCGGAACACCCTCAAATAATATATAGATAGGGACTAAGAGATAACCTAATCAAATAGTGGTTACTTTGAGAGTAACCACCATAAACTCCGGTTACTTTGCCACAATGACTATTACCCATTTAACCCTTTGAAACCACTGCTTCTATCAAACTACTTCGGAAATGTTATTTGGTCAATGTGTTTCTCGTGATTTTTGATACAGCCATGGAACACGGGACTTGCATCTAATGTACAAAGGTCAATGAGTGCACCGTCATTGCAACCTCTTCAAGGAGTCCCTTCTGAAGTTAAACCTACCGGAAGAACAGAACTACCCGCGGTATCGATTTTATTTACGCCATTTTCTATGTCTCTTTGCGATATTTTACTATCTGTGGGATTGTAGATGACATCCTATAACCTGTCTGCAGGATTTATTCACTGTAAGCTACCCATCATACCATGCAGCAGTTCCTGGGTGGCAAGCTGGTCCACCTCATGGTATGCACTATGGCATGCAACAGCAGTATAATAACACCATGGTACAGTTTTTCTGATAAACTTCTGAATCCGTAGCATAAATGACATCGCAGCCTGTTACTTTCTCGTGATTAATCATCTATTTCCTGCAACAGCCTTACCAGAATGTTCCTCAGCCAGCTAAATCAATGAACCCTTTTGACATTAGCTCTGAGCCGCCACCGCAGACACAAACAGTATGTCCTCTAGCTCATTTGACTTATCCAGAATAGAAGTATTGCATTTAACAATCATGTTTTGGAAATTAAATTTTGCTTCTTTGGCGGCAAATAATGAGCAAAATTTTTGCTTATGAGTTTTCCCTTTTACTCGTTTCGACACTTGCATCCGAACAAGTTATCTTATTGAAGTATATTTATAAAACAATTGATTGGTGATTTTTACATGTTTAGTGATTTGAAAAATGGTGCAGGAAACTATGTTCCCTTCCATGGGGTCTCTGCAAGGTGCATTACCTCCTTCAGGCATGATGCCTTCTCAAGGAGTACACAATCACTTCAATATACCCTCCCAAGTCTCAAACCATCCATCTGCAATGCTACCAAGTAAAAGCATACCTATTTTCTTTTTTTTTTCCGTGATCTCATCTACTGAATGATGCGTTAATTCTTACTAAATGTTTGATGAACTATGTTTGCTCCCAAATTTTCAGGGTACATATCTCCTCAAATACCAGCAACCTTGCCACCTAGGTATGACCTTTTTGATTCAATTAATCTAGTAATGCTTGCTTCCATCAATATAGTTGGTCTCTGGATGATACATGGTTAGCGCGAACCGCAATCTAAGCCATAACCATCGGTTTTGCAGCAATATTGCCAACATGGGAGCTCCATATGACAACACTCAACAAACATATCAGAATTTCGGAAGCTCATTTTCTGCTGCAGTTCCTTCGAACCCACCTTCTTTCCCTTCAGGAGGAAACCCGTTTGGGTAAGCAAAGAGCGAATAGCATTAGCTCGAAATCCGTTATGCTTGAAGTTTAAGTTCTAAGGTGTGGTATAAAGGTATCAAAATCGAACTTAAGCATGGGTTGAAAAAGTGAACGAAGGAAGGAAGGTACGAGTCCATGAACTTGGAGGGTGTTAGATGATATTTTTTTTTTTCTTATGAAAGGTTTTTTTTTAAAAAAATAGGTTTGATTTATTATTATTATTCTTTGGTTTTTCTATATTTCATTTCCCATTTTGATGTTGTTTTATTGTATAACAAACTTGAGGGTGGTTTCCTGGGGATAAATCTTGAGGATCCTTTGTGTTGTATGTTTTTTGTAAAAGAGTCTTACACATTTGATCATCTAGTCAACTGAATATTGGAAGTTTAAGGACTTGATGGATGCATCATTATTGGAGTTTAGAATTTGTTTAACATTGAAATTTGGGGAAATTCACCAAAGTGTGTTTTTTGTTATAAGTATATTGTGTTTTCTGTTAAAAATCATTTTCAGATTACAGATTGTTTTCAAAAGTGGATGGAAAAAAACGAAACTGCTCTTGATCAAACTAAATCATGTATAAGTGTAGTGCGTACATGTAATACTAAATCAGTAAATCATCACCAAAATTTAAGCTCCAAAAATCGTTTAATTAATGCACGAACATGAACCATGATCAAGTTACAGCCCTTCGTCTGAGTAATTATTTTTGTATATACTATTCAAGAATTTTTTTAACTGAAATCTATATGGACCGGAATCGGACTGAAATATGGCATAAATTAAAGAGTAATAGCACTAAATAGCATAATACTAGTAGTCAATTAAGTAATCAGACATATGTTATTTCTCTGCCCAAGCATAAAACTAATTTGCCACCATTTTTCTCGTTTTTACCCTCACGCGCTTCACTTATTATTTCCATCGAAATATATATATATATATATATTTTTTTTTTTCAAATCTGAAATCCCTTTCTAACCCAAAATCGGATGATGGAGTGTGAAGACAAATAACATTTTTTGTTAGTCACTTTAACTAGAATTGTTGTAATTTATTTTGTATATAGCAAATATAAGGGCATATTAATAGCACACCTCTTGCTTTCACGGAACCCCATACCACCCCTTCGCTGTTGTATTACCCTATTTTCCGATACTCTCAAAGCGAAATCGCTACAGGGGAACGAAACAGAGACTGAGGCAATTACAGGCGGAAACCGGAAGACTATAGCACTCCACACACCGGCAGTTGAATATCCAGGTAGCCTCCTTCGGTCGGTTGTGTATGTGATTTCCCACGTTTTTACACTATTGATTTTGACTCCAAATCTTTAGGCAAATCTTTTTCGGGTGATTTGCCGTTGTTTCAATCGATAGTGGGAAGTGATTCCCATTTAGATTGTTTTTCAATCTCAGATTTGCTAAGAAATATAACCTAAGTGTCAAAATATTAGGTCTCGAAACCAGATCTTCAACAATATAAACAAAATCTTAGATCTCCAAACCAGATCTTCACATGCATATATGCACATTCGCTCCGTTTTATAGTCATCCATTTCTCTAGTTAGACTTCAATGGTTAACTAGATAAGCTTCGGGATCTCGACTCTTTCGAACAGGTAACTTTATTATAAACCCGGGTAGCCATGTATCTTATGTTATAGATCTCCAACAATGTAAACAGATACCCGAATATATGGATGTCTAAGTTTGAGCATGTGGCCTTATAAATCAGTATGCGGGTGTCTTTTTGTAGGTGGCAGTGACTTCAATAATCGAAGGCGAATTCAATGGAACCCCCCAAAGTGCCTTCGCATGGGCAGATGAAGTAGATGACCCCAAAGTGTATTACATGGAGATGCTTGCAGTCTTGTTTGTTCTTGAACACATGCCCCAATACAGCTCATCTCTTTTATATGCCACAACCAATATGACATTCTCTGTTAGATCCAATCCTGAGAAAACCCATCTATCAAATACATTAGATGTCTTTAACTTTTTTACAATTCAATGTAATGTTCTTTTAGCAGCCATTAAGATAATCATCCATCATATTTAATAACACTCCACTAATATTAATAGACAGCTATATAGCCTCATATACTAACCTATATTATAGTTATCGGAGCAACATAAAAATCCATGAAAGAAAATAACACAATATAATATAATTTACGGGTACGCGATCCGTTAAGTAAATATAACAATCTAGGGAACAACATAACTTTTGGAGATGAATATAGCACTCCACTAATGTTAATAGACATCTACAATACACTTATATCATTACAAGTCACCATCATTTTCAAATAACCCACTACAAGTTTATATCCGTCCCGCACGAAGTTTATATCCATCAGCAACACAAATCCATATGATATTATATGGCGGATTTTGGAAGTATGTGGTAACAGTGAAACTGATCGAATACAAATTGGCGCATCCTGTAAATGCGTTTTAAGCCCTTGATAATACCAAAACTTGGTAGCGCAAAATCTAAATATTTTCATAGATTGGGATTGAGCTGATGATAATACCAAAACATTAACGTAAATAATTAGAGAATGAATCCATAACACACAAAAACTTGTAGGTATCTTTAACTTCCTAAACCCTATTAGAACCCTTGTATTAAGAATACACATCCACATTGAGACCTTACGACTTTATTCCAAATAGGGATGGGTATATTTTTTTTTAAAGTATTAGGATATCCATAGGAAAAAAACCCATCAATAACATGGTGACACTAACCACAACTAACAAACACATTACGATTGTCATTGCAGGTATTTTGACACCAACTTCAACAAAAAGATGCAAGATGTTTTTGTCTTTGACAAAAGATGCGATTAAAAGTCTTGTATGTGACTCTTCATCAATAAACTTTTAAAACTATGTATATAGATAGAAATGTTTGTGTAATAATGTGTACATGCTTTATGATTAGATACCCCATAATGGTTTAAAGTAAATACTAATCTATAGCTATATTTGTATATCCACCTTTCTTTGATCTAAACAATCTAACGCACAAAAATGTTTAATTTCACACAGCTCCCCAATCTTAATAATCTATTCTATTTTCCCAACCAGATCCAAATTGCTGATGGAAACGTCTGTGTAGTTTCCTCAATACAGAGATGAACACAAAAACCAATCATGTTGTTTGCCTGCTCTTCAATACTATTGGAGCCACCAACATCCAAACTGCAACAAACATTTAAATAAACATTCAAACATTACAAAGTTTCTCGATTTTATAAAAACATAACTGATAAAAGAGAGTTTCTTTTTTCTTTACTTACTGTAAACGCAAACCGCGAGCCATTCGTTTACTATCCTAACCCAAGTACTTGTCCACCCAACGTCAATTGTCCACCTATCAAAACAAACCGAGCTTCCAATTATCGACGGGTGTTCAATTCGGATAAACCGATTCAAACTGAACCAAAATAACCGATCCAAAAGTCAAGCCATATTTTAATATATTGGTGTAAATGGATTCAATTTTTTTATACTCGAAATACCAAAAACCGAAACTGTACAAAACCAAAAAGGAAAAACCGATTTAAAAACCATTTTTTTGAAAAAGATTAAGGATACATTTCACTAAAATCTGAATCCCAACCAAAACCGAATTCGAACCAAACCATTCATAATAGGTACGGTTTTATTTTTAGATGTTATTATTTATCAACCAAATATCCAAACACACAAAAAATCCGGATTTAACAAGAACTTACTTTTTCATGGAGTGGTGACTGTTCCAGCCAATAAGTAACATTGCAAAGTACATTGATCCAGTAGCAAACACAAAATGGAAGAATCCGTATCCATAAGGAATCGCATCTTCCTCTTGAACCTCATCTTTTTTAAACTGCAAGGCCACTCACTGTTAATCAATTTTGTTTTTCTTTTTTCTTGGAGATTTGCAGCAAAATTGGCAGAGCTTATAGATAACAAACCTGAAAACACTGAGAATCTACTCCCGTCGAGAATGTTGCAATTACCATCGCAAGAATTGCAACTACAAAGCTCTGCACAATGCATATAGATGCAAAACCTGTTTAGTACTTTCTTTACAATCTCTTAAACTCTAAAAGATCCAAAAAAGATTCTTGCAAGGGTCTAAGAGTATTTTTACAATGATGGTAAGCCAGTCTGTTCTGCTAGACGATTCGGCTTTTCTGTTGCAAGTTTCACCCACTGGCTCACTGCATTGATCATATAAAGTGAGACTACATTGCTCAATGTTTCATCTCATCGTTATTTTACTAAGTTTGATATTAAAGATAGATCAAATGAAGCATACCTTCTAATGGCGCACCAGCAGATGAACACAATATAAAGTCCCATTAATGCTGGAGTCAAGAATCCAGCATTCACCTGTTTAATACAAGCCGAAAATATCGGGTTTTCGAAAATCCGCATACACATATATCATATATGATATTAAGTGGACAATAAAAGTAACTCACTTTGGGGTGGAGAGAGATACTTGTCATGAGTTGGATGAGGAACAAAGTCCACGTGATGAAAAATATGTTGAGAAAGCATGATGGATCAGGCACATACCAAATGTACATTAAAATCACCCCTAATATGCATAAGGTGTACGCAGTGGTCGCTAGTAGCATCACATGGACATGGCTGCAACATAAAAGGCTTTATCAGAAAACACAAATCATTTCGTAAGGAGCAAGTCTCATGGTGTCTCACCATCTTTCTGCATCTTTTTGAGATTGGAAAAATTCATTGAGCCATGTAATGAAACTGATGATACTAATGAGCTGTATCAAGAGAAAGACCCTATAATAACAATTAACAACAGAAAGAGAAGAAGTTGTGGTTATGGATAAGCTTTCCAAGTTAAAACCGTCACAAAGTTTCTGGAGTAGGATTAAAACTGTACCCTGCACCAAAATGAGCAATCTCCCCTGAAAAGCAAATCAGAGTTTTGGATTTAGGATTTATGGTGCAAAGAAAAAGCTATTTTACGTGTAAAGTTAATCAAGAACGATTAGACTTATTACCGTAAAGCTCAATAACGGAAGAAGGCAACACGAAAGGGAAAATGGTTAAGCAAGGCCACATGAGAAGTTTAGCAAACCACCATCCCGAGTGCCATTTATCTCTCGTTGAATGCGTCTTTGATGTACCAGCGGTTGAAAGAAACATAATGAAATAGAACAGCTATGGAAAGAGTTAAGGCCAAAAATATTTCTGAAAGAACACTTAATAGATCATGTAGCAAGAAAATTAGTTTATATGACTGATTGAAATAAAGGATACAAAACATCCCAAGCTAACTCGTAAAACACCTTCAGTCCCTAAACAGTTTAGCCCGTCTTTACAGTTCTTGAATTCTGCAAAAAAACGAACTAAAAAGAATCATCATTCATCTGAAAAAAATCATTGGAAAATTTCAGTTACAACTTTAAGAAAACCATACTTCTCATTTCTGTCAAGGCACCTCGGCCATAATCGCGTATAGCCCAAGCAAGAAGATTCGCCAAGAGGAACATAAGACCGTACACATATCTAGCTATCCATGGATTGTAGCCATTACGAAACTGGCTAAACCACGAACCGTCCTTGATTGTTTCATAGCCATTAGTGTTGATGCTTGTCCCTGTCTCCATAGATTCTTAAACTTAGCAGACTCTCTCTTCTTCATGACATTGGAAGATCAACAAATCTTTGGCAGAGAATACTGCTTATACTTCCTTCAGGTATAACAATCCTGAAACAAGAAACCACTTAAGTTATAACTGTACACTTGCATAGATTCGATAAGTAGTAGGAAAAACACATGTATAATTTATCATTCACATGCACTGAAATCGTTTCTCAAGCATCTGTTAACTGAGAATACGTGGAGTGCAAGTAACATTACCCTAACAAAAACCTAATTTAGCAACTATCGCATAATTCACCAACCATATGTTGGAATATATGCGTAAGCAGAGATCGCAACTTTGAAGCATAACCAAAAGACAAATATATCAAACTTATTTTATTGAACTGCCAAAAGTCGAGAATATTTAGAATTTACCGAAACACAAAAAGAGAGATTAATTAGCAGTAACAAATAACTGTATGAAATAGGTTAAAAGTAAAGAATCACGAACCAGAATAAAAAAAAAACTCTTGTTAAATTTGCTTCTCTTTTTCGTCCTAGTACGATAGAACCTTACAAACACTCTCTAGCGTCAATGATTCTTACAAACGAAACGAGACTACATGAATCAAGAAAACGAAATACAAGTAAAATAGAAATCCTAGATAGATAAAAGAAAGTGGCCAAAAAATCAGAAGTTGCCAACAAAACTTTCAATTGAGAGGGAAACGAAAAAGCTTAAAGTGAAGATAAAAAAGTAAACAAATAATGGAAAAATCCTTAATTTTTGGGATACAAATACATGGAAAAATCCTTAAAGTGAATGTATACAATTTGCTCTTCAAATGAAACGTGTACGGATACTATTGGGCTAAAGAATCTTTTGCAAGTGAGCAAATTGTTAATGCTATGCAGCGACATCACATACCCTTTTTGGCTTTCTTTTTAACCAGAAAATCAGAAGTTGTTTCCCTTTATTTATTTCTTCTTGAACATAAAGCAAACTTGATTTTCTTCACAAGTCCTCCACTTTATGCAGACCCTTGGTTTTGATTGGAACAAAATTAGAATATATTATATATAAAAAAAAACGGAAAAAACCCAGCTGAAATAGGTTATTTTGAATTTATATACTATATGATCAGTATAAAAATAACAATATCAAATGATTAGGATATAGTCTGGTGGTTTGTGTTATAAGTAACTTTCCACGACCCGGGTTTAAAGCTAGCATGTTGTTGTAAAAAATAAATATATCTATTCTAATAAAGTAAGGTTTTTTTAGAACTTATATATATTTTTTTTTCATATTTTTATTGGATTATTTTTTTATTAAACAAACACAAAAATAAGACTTCAGTTTTTTCTTCTCTACACGGATCTTTTTCATTTAACAAAAAGAAAAAAAAATCAAATTATCTAATAAAATATAAATCTTATATAATAGAGTAATGTGATATATCAAATTTGTTTTTTTTTTGTTTCCATCTCTGCTGGATTTCTTTAATCAAACAAACATAAAAATAACACTTCAAATTTTTTCCCCTTCTCCATTCTTTTCTATGTTTTTCTCCTTTCTCCATCCAATTCTCTTTCATTATGTCTCTTACCTCATATTATTTTAGAAGTTTATTTTACTTTTAAGAGCTGATTGTGGTATACTTCTGCGTGAAAAATAGTTTCATTTCTTTAAATTTTCTTTGTAGCCAATCGAGCAGAAAATAATGCATTATATAATAAGTTTTTTTTAGAACCATCGTTGATATGCTGCCACATATCACTTTATAAATTGATATTTGTCATTTTTCCCTTTTTTTCTCCATATTTCTACTGGATTCTCTTCTATCAAACAAACACAAAAACAAAGCTTCGTTTTTTTTCTTCTGTATACGATTCTTTTTCATAAAAAAAAAAACGAAAATCAAATCAACCAACAAAGTAAAAATCTTATATGATAGAGTAAGGTCATGTTTATTTTTTTCTATCTCTCCTGGATTTTTTTTTTAATCGAACAAACACAAAGTAACACTGTTTTTTTCTACCTTCTCTACCTGGTTCTCACTATGTCCCCTATTTCACATTATTTTTGAACATTTATAACTTGTAAAAGCTCATTGTGGCATTACTTATGTGCAAAAGATAGTTTTTTTTTATGTTTTCTTTGTGGTCATTCGAATAGAAAGTCATTCAATATTTGTTTTCATGAAATCATTTTAGATTAATGACTCCTTCTTTCCTTCCATATCCCACTAAACGTCAAACCACCACTACTATCACAATCTGGATTCTACTCTCTGAATTTTCTTTCTAATCATTCTTGTGTGCTTTTAAAGAATGGTAACAGCTACACTTTTCTAACATGGTCAAACCTCATTCTATATAAATATTATTATTTTACCAACCTTTTAATACAAAATTTTAACAAATTACATAGTACTCAGAATCTCAAAACTAATATTTATCGAAAACTTTTACTAACAAATATAATAAAACATATTATAAAATTAAAATTATTAAAATATCACAAATCTCATTAAAATGTCAAAAATCTCAAAGTATTTGTTTAGTTTGAAATAGAACCAAAATTTGAACAACATATGTGTAAGAAAACTTAAAACCCTTAATACAATGTATATACAAAAACTATTACTTAAAGTTTACAACATAAATAAAATTGTCATTATTAGTACATCTTTTAGTCTCATAAGAAGCATGCCCTTGGGTTGTTCCAATCAATACGATTCATCTACAGCTTTCTTGTTATATTATTAACATATGAAAAAGTGAATTGTGTTATGTAAGGAAAAACGATTAAACAAAGAATAGAGAAGAACAGGTGTACCTGGAAAATCTAGCATATGTTGTACTTATAACTACATGTCTATTTATAATCACCCATAAACTAAGGTTTTAATTATGATAGGTTACGTCTAATCTGTTGGAAAGTTAGATAAATTTACAGAAAGCAAGGAGGGGAAAAAAGAAATAAAAAGCAAGTATTGAGTGGTCCCTCTCTCAAATCTTTTGAAAATTAATTAACATTTTGGGTATTACAGAAGAAATTAGTGTTTGGATTACCAGGAAATAAAACGTAGGAAAATGTACAAAACTCGAATCCCCATTTTCATTTTCCCGAGAAATCTGGGAATCGCGAGATTCAAATATAGTATAACTTGAAAAACCAGTTTATTATAAACAAGCAGGCACATGCATATTTGTAAATCTTAGAAAATCAGAAAGAGATATAAAAAGATTGAATAGAACCTGTAAGTTTTCTGGTGCAGAGAGCTTCTTCAAACTATGAACCGATCGGATTTTGAGAGGTGAAGATCAATAAAACCCAAAAAAGAACTGAGAGAAAAATGCGAAAAAGCGGAATCAACGATTTCAAGTTTTGTTGTTGCGTCTGAGTTTTTTTTTGCTTTTGCCTTTGCTCTCTTTTAAAACACTTGTTTCTTATAGATGTGTTCGCCTGCTTATAATATAAATTGTGAAACTTTTTTTTTTTTTTTTTTGTTTCCTGATTCGTGAGCATATTCAATTATGAAGATTTTTTCTTTTAACAGTATATTTTTCTTTTTGATAAAAGTTAAATTTTGCTTTTATAATTTTATTGTGTTGCTTAATTCGTATGATTATTTTTTGCTTTTCTGCCGTTTGATTATTGTCTCCGACTCTTTCTGACTCTCCGCTCGAAGCTTTCGGGACTTTCAACTTTCAAGTAAACTAATGCTTTCTTATGTTAAAAATATGATTATGATCCTTTAAGATACAACTATTTGATTACGTTGTTTTACAAATTTTGTATAATTATTTTAATTAAGTGTTTTCTCATATCTTGTATAAATCAATGATTATAGAATATATAAAATATTTTTTATATATTATTAGAATTTAATATAATATTTAAATTTGTTTTTCGCATATTTTTCTCTCTCTTTTATCTTCTTCTATCTTATCTTATTTTTTTCATAATCAATGACTGTTTCTAATTACAGCCGTCACTCCTTTTCACTCCAACCAACTACATGACCTAGAACATTCAAATGAACAAGATATGAGTTTGTTGCCTATGTTGAAGGATCGGCCCGAACTCCACCTCTAATTCTCAATGTCAATTATCAACCAACATTGAACCCCAACTATGTTGCATGGAAGAGACAAGACAAAGTCATCTTCAGCGATCTATTTAGAACCTTCAATCTCTCCAGTCAAACTCTTGTCACCAAATCCAAGACTTCATCTGAAATGTGGAAAACCATTATTGCCACCTGTGTAAAACCAAGAAAAGGCCATATCAAGCAACTCAAGTACCAGCAAAGCAATACTCAAAAGGTGAAAAATCAATCGATAAATACCTTCAAAGCTTAACAATTCGCTTTGACCAACTTGCACTTCTTAGAAATCCAATTGAGCATGAAGATCATATTGAATATATACTTAAGAGCCTGCCAGAAGAGTATAAATATGTTGTTGACCAGATCGAAGGCTGTGATATCTCTCTTTCAGTCACTGAAGTTCATGAAAAACTTTTCACCAAGAAAGCAAAGTTACTCTCTCTCACCACCCTGGTCTTCAATGTTACCCCTGTCGCTGCTACTTTGGCCTATGGCCCTTATCGTCAATCTTATGGAAAGTAACAATATCATCCAACTCAAAACTGGAGAAATACCAGCCAACATCCTATCAGAACTAGAGATCTGACAACCACACAACCAAAGGATACCAAGTGAGATGTCAATTTTATGGGGTGTTTAGACATAGCGCCAAGAGATGCTCCCAGCTTCCACAACAACATTGTGACTCTCATAATGATCTTCTCCCCTCCCCTATTGCCATCCTTGGCATCCCCGGGCCAATGTTGCACTCACCTCTCGTGATCACTCAAATGCTTGGTTGATGGATAGTGGTGCCACTCACCATATGACAAGTGATCTCCACAACCTCTCGCTACATCAGCCATACCACGACAGTGATGCCGTACTCAACGGTGATGGCTCTGGTCTGTCCATCACACACACTGGTTTGCTTTCTTTGGACTCTCAATTTCGTGATTTAACACTCCATAATATCTTATGCGTGCCTCATATCAGAAAAAACTCATCTCCATAATATATTTACAATGCTAACAGAATCGCTGTTGAATTCTTTCCTGCTCATTTTTAGGCGAAGGATCTGACTTTGGGGGTCTTGTTAATCCAAAGCAAGACCAAGGATGAGCTGTACAAGTGGCTAGCCTCATCAAGTACCCTAAACTCTTTCTTTTCCTCCACAACATTCAAACCATCTCTGACTGATTGACATTACCATCTCAGTCATTCTTCAACCACCATTATCAAAAGTGTTATCTCAAATTTTTCTTTACCTTGCTCTCAATCTGTAACTCCAAATTCCCTATGTTCAGGTTGTGCCATCAATCAAACTCATGAACTGCCTTTTTTCCAAACAACTATTGCCTCAACTCGCCCTTTACAATATATTTTTACCGACCTATGGAGCTCTCCAATTGTGTCTATTAGCAACTACAAGTACTACCTTGTACTAGTAGACCACTACAGCAAATATACATGGATATACCCGTTAAAGCTAAAGTCGCAAGTTTGTGACATATTCATCGCCTTCAAAGACCTCATTGAGAATCATCTGAATAACAAGAATGGAACCTTTTTACTCCGATAATGGCGGAGAATTTATAGCACTTCGATCCCTCCTCTCTGAAGCTGGCATCTCCCATCTTACATCACCACCTCATACATCAAAACACAATGGCGTATCAAAGAGAAAACATCAACACGTGGTGGAAACAGGCTTGACACTGCTCACTCACGCTGGTATGCCGAAATCCTACTGGTCGTACGCCTTTACCACTGTTGTCTACCTTATCAATCGCCTCCAAACACCAGTGATTGATATGAACACTCTGATTCAAAAACTGTTTACCATGACGCCAAATTACTCCAAGCTTGGCTGTCTCTGCTTCCTTTGGCTCAGAACATACAGCAATAATAAGCTTGAAGATTGCTTCACTCCCTATGTAGTCATCGGCTATTCACCGACACAAAGGGCCTACGTGTGTCTCCAGCTGATCTCTGGACGTATATACATCTCTCATCATGTTCGCTTTGACAAGAATGTGTTCCTGTTCAAAGCTTCAACAACAGCTGACTCGACACAAAGCAACAAAAACGCAGAGTTCCAATCCTCGCCAATCATAACCATCATTCCCATATCTCCGTCAATTTCTCCCACACCAACAGATCTGCCACTAGTACAACCTCAATCAACAGAATCCGCGATGTCGGATCTTCACCAGCAAGAGTGCTCGCCAACTCTGCTGTTGCATTAACCATCTCTTGGAAAGTCCTGCCCAAAATATTCAACCATCGACAAATTTACAGAATCAAGAGTGCCACTCAGACCATTGTGTCAATCTCCAGCCTATGGCAGCCCAAATCACCCAAACCCACCACCAATACCAATTCATCCACATGAAGCCCAAACACAACCTATGGCCCATACACGAAATCCAACTCAATCATCAAATCCATCATTGTCCACAAATAATCCACCACCAAGAAGAAACAACAAACGCCCCATAAATCTTTTGCCGGTGATTTCACCACCGATGACCACCCGCCTAAAAAAACAAAATCCACAAACCCAATCCTAAATACAATTACTTCGTCGTTCTCTCCAGTCTCATCCCCGCTGAACTCCAAAATCTTCTTAGGCTCTCAAAGACAAGTGGTGAGGAGCCATGTCCCATGAAATTGATGCATTTGCTCTTTACAGGACAATCGATTTGGTCCTTCGTCAACCTCACTTTGATGTTGTTAGTTGTAAGTGGGTGTATAAGAACAAAATTTTGCCTAATAGCTCTCTTGACAGGTGTAAAGCGTGCCTTGTTTCCAAAGGATACAATCAGCAATGCGACTATGATTGCACCGATACTTTCAGTCAATTCATAAAATCTAAAACATTACGGCTTGTTCTTGATATTGTTGTCGTTAGCTCTTAACCAATTCAGCAACTGGACATTAATAACGCATTCTTCCAGGGACTCTCACTGAAGAAGTATACATAAAGCAAACGCCGGGGGTACATTGATGCTGACAATCCCATACATGTTTGCTGTCTCAACAAAGCAATATATGGCCTTAAACAGGCACCAAGAGCTTGGTACACGGAGCTGCGTACTTTTCTCCTATCATGGCCGGACACATTGCTATTTATTCTTCAGATTGGTATAGAGTTCATCTACCTATTAGTCTATGTAAATGATATTCTTGTTACAGGAAGTAGCAAGATTGGTATCCAACGAATACTGCAACTGCTTGCTGATCAGTTTTCAATTAAGGATGCAGAGGACCTCCATTATTTTCTCGGCCTCGAAGTCTATCAAACCTCCGCTGGCCTCCACCTACTTAAAGAAAGTATGTTCTCGATATTCTCAATTGGTAAAACATGACCAACGCCAAGCCAGTCACTACTCCAGTGGCAACCTCTCAAAAGTTGACGCTATTGTCAGATACACTTCTCTATGATCGCTCAGAAAATAGGAAACTAGTAGGAAACTTACAGTAACTAGTGTTTACAATACTAGATATTGCTTACACTGTCTATCACCTCTCCTAATATATGCACCATCCCACAGAAGATCACTGGCAAGCTACTAAGCGAATCCTTCGTTATCTCGCTGGCACCCCAACACATGGGATCTTCTTCTCAGGAAGTAACAACCTCAAAATTCATGCTTACTCTGACGCTAGCTGGGCATGGAATTCTGATGACTAAGTCTTCACAAATGGCTACATCATACATCTTGAAAGCCATCTGATATCGTAGACAGCAAATAAGCAAAAAAGAGTTGCCCGATCTTCAACTGAAACTGAGTATCGAGCTGTTGCGAATACTGTCTCTAAACTCAGCTGGATATACAACCTCCTGATAGAGCTTGGGATACAGCTGCCAACACCTCCAATAGTCTTTTATGATAATGTAGGTGCCACATTCCTTTGTGCAAATCCAGTCTTTCACTCTAGAATATAGCATATTGCTCTAAATTATCATTTTATCGGTTCACATACAATAAGGAGCTTTATGTCAACACCAAAAACTAATTAGTGAATGTTTTAATAAAACTACTCTTTCTTGCGAGATTTACTGAACTCATGAGTAAAATTAGAATGACTTCACTCCCTTTATCTTAAAAAATCATATTAGAAATATAATTATAATCTTTTTTTTAAAATACAAATATTTGATAACTCTGTTTTAGGAATTTTTTGTAATTACATTAGTTTCAAGTCTTTTCATGTATAAATTAATGTTAATATCTCCTTTTAAAGAATATAGAAAATACACTATCTACATCTTAATCGTTAAATGAGATTAGAATATGTAGATTAATCGTTTGTGTTAATTTATATCATACTATTCACTATTGACTGTTCGCTGTTGTGTTTTAATGCATATATTTTAGAAGCAAAACAATTTATATCTACTGACCATACATACTACATTTGGATTG